TCTTTCCCTGGGACTATGGAGGGCTTGACCCATGCTCATTCTTACTAGAACAGTCATATTTCTTTATGGAAAGAATATAGGGCAGTGCTTCTCAACCAGGTGTGATTTTGCCTCCCGAGGGACCCTTGTCAACATCTGGAGGTATCTTTGGTCGTCAGAACGGAAGAAGGTTGTGGTGGAGCATTCAGCATCTAGTGGGTAGCGGTCAGGGTTTTAACCCAACTCAGGTTCAGTTGCTCACCGCTCAAAAGCTGGTACTTGAGAGACAAGTGTTGGTAGGAAAGGAAAGATTGCTTTATTCAGGAGGCCAGCGACCTGGGGAGAAGGTGGACCTGTGTCCAAGAAGCAACTACCAACTGCTGCTCAGGGGGCAAGATCTTTTAAAGGGGGGTTTCGGGGGTGTACAGGTGGCGGACGTGGCTACATGCAGAATAGCACAGTCAGCTCTGACGGTCATCTCGAAATTGGTCATGCCGTGGTCTGATCAGGGTCATCTTGATTATTTTAAGTACAGTTAGTCTTCAGTTCCAGGGTCGGCTTGTTCCCACGTCCTTGAGGCCAGTTCTTGGAATTGTGCAAAAGACGGAGCAGCTTATGTCACAGTTTCAGTCTGGGCATCATGTAGTTAACTTCTTCCGACAGGTGGGTGTTTCAGTATCGACAAATCAGCTCAAAGAATATGGCTCAGCATATTATCTGTAGCCCTTGGGGAGGAACGAAAGGTCTTCGACTTTGTTTAATGGCTAAACTATTATTACTTTGTCTTGCTTGACTGTTTCCCTTTCTTTCTGCATTTTCTCACTTCTCTGATTAAATTTATTCTTTGGCTAAAGTTTTTCTACAGACAAGAGACAGGTGGACAACACAGAGGGTCTGTCCCGCAAAGGCCCCGTAGGGTCCTGCTCGGTTACGAAGGATGCTGCAGAACATTCTATAATACACAGGGCAGCCTCCATAACGAGGAATTATCCAGACCCAAATATCAGTAGTGCCAAGGCTGAGATAAAAGAAATGATTGTTCCTCTAAGATAACCTTAAAGTGTCAAAAAAATACTCTTAAAATGATCTAAGAATAAAGTTATGTGGCTCCTGTCCCAAATAGTAATTATTGTAATTATTCTCTGCCTTTAGTAAAAAAACAAAGTAGCCATTCAAAATGAAGGATAGATTTCTGATTAAGGGGTAACATACCATCATTTTTGGAAGATTATGCCTTTGAGGGTTTCTCTAAAGACCATGAAAGTGTTTCATCCCATGACTGGCATAAAGCTGATTCAGAAGTGGTGTGGCTACGCCTCAACAGCAGGCCTCCTCCCCCAAATTTGGTTCTGATATCAAGACTGAGGACACTGCACACATCCCACGAGGGTGTGAAAAGGTGTGTTACTCACATAATGAGGCTTACGAGGGTGAGCAGGGCGGCTCCCATAAGGGGCTGAACTTGGCTGGAGAGCACAGGGAAGAATGGCTCAGGGATTTGGCGGTGGTTAAGGGATGTACCAGGGTGGGGCTCGTACGTGCAGACAGGGACTTGCATGCCTTGAACCTCCTACTGGTGCCAAAGGAAGAGGCATGAGAGCTTTGTTATCAGCTTGCTCAGCTGTGGGCAGAAGAGAAAGAGCTGTCAGGGGCCAAACATGAAACAACGCAGTCAGATGCCATGACTGGGCAAGTTCAAAGTCTCTGCCTCTGTCTACATGATCCATGACTGGCCTTGAAACCTCGGCATAGCAATGGCATCCAACAGCTAACTGACTATGGACTTGTGTATGGCCACATGAGAAGCATCCCCATGCCCTGTGGGAGACAAAAGTTGGTGTGAGGGAAGGGGTGACCAGCACACACATCAGTGTCGGAGAGATACATCTTCCCACACCGCTTTCCTACTCACCAGCTGTGTCTCCTTGAACAAACTGATTGTTGGCTCTTATCTTTAAAATAGAGATGCTGATATCTCCCCTGTAGAGTGTCCATGACTTAATGGATGCAAACTGCTAAGTGGTGACCAGTCAGTCATTCATATTCTTTTTTTGGCCAGGAACACAGTTAAGACACTTAAGTTACTATTTTACCTTATGTGTGTATGTATATGTCTGGGTGTATGTGCGATCACTTCTTAATTTTGCTGTGGGTGCCCCGCAAGCTTGCCTGCATCACCTTCCCCGACAGCTGGTCCTTAGAGCTGTGGTTCATGTGGAATTCATCCCTCTCCTCCACCTCCCAAAGGCTCCAGACACGACAGGACTTCGTGATAATGTCCCCCGGGTGCCTGGGAGGCTGGGGTGACAAGGAAAGGAAAGGTATGTAGGGCACAGCCCGATGTCGTGTTGACAAAATGAGATCAAAGTTAGTAAAAGTGAGCCAAAGGAACCGGGCAAATGTAGGAGGCCTACATAAAATGCAGAGTGAAGCATCTGGAGTTTCTCTTCGTCTCTCCTTCAGTCACACTGGGAGCCCTCGTGTGTGCTTGTGTACACACACACACACACACACACACACACACACACGCACACATACAGATGTGTAGGGACTTTGCACAGGCCTATTTTGTTCTCTCATTCTAACTCAAGCCCAAACCATCATGAATGGTTCTCCCTTTGTGACGGATGGCTGCCTAACATCTCTTCATATACGGGCATTGATTTTTGTAATTACCTATTGTCCAAATACTTTCCAAATTTGCTCAGTCTTCTAGTCTTTCTGTCGCGTTTTATTGAATTGATTTAGCCCTTCCGTCTACATTTCATTATTGGTATTGACTTTGTCCACACAATGGATAGGCCGCTGAGCAAAGGGCAGAATTAAATCTCCTGTATGTGGAGGGTCATAAATCATGGCTTTCTCATTCCTTTTTACAGTGCTCTGTACAGTTTTCACAGAATGAAGCCAAGAAATTCAGTTTTGTTCAAAATGATGCCGGATCTCATAGGTACAAAGTCGAGAATTCACCTCCATAAATCAGCAGACAGAAACCGAGTCCCAACTTCTCCTACTGGTCTAGTGAACTTGGATTTGAGGCATATTCTCCTGGTTCCCTCCCAGCAGGGAGGTGGAAATGAGGGGAGAAGGGTGGCTGTGGTGAGTTCAGCAGCCGCCAGTGACTATGGGAGAGTCTGCAGTCCACTGCGTGCCCTGACCCGGGGCACAACGTTCGGTTAGGAAATGCTTTGAGGACCGGCAAGTGTCCAAAACTTGGGATAGGACTCTTGCAAACAAGAGTTTAAAGTCAGACTGAGATAAGATCAGAAGAAAAGCAGTTGAGGAAAAACAAAAGAGGAGGGGGGAAGGAGACAGGGGAAGCAGAACATCCAGGCATTGTAGCAAACACAGCACAGCTCATCTGGTGCAGCTCATTTCCATGGGCTGACGAGTAGCTAAGATGTAGGCAGATCCCCCAGCTTTAAAGATCAGAGGTGTGATTGGCGTGGATGGCTGTCGGTAATATTTGAACTATGTCTGCCATGCATGCTGCCTCCTAAATTGTTGGGAATGTCACAATAAAATGAGCTTTAGATAATCTAGGTAGTTTTTAGACATGAAAACCTGCTCATGTGTATGTATTATAGGCATCTTTTAGGAGGTGCCTAAATGTTGATAATTTTTTCATGGTTTTTCAAAAATCCTTTTTTCATTCTTTCTGGGAACCTTC